GAACTGAAAAACAGCTTACAAGCCTAATTTAAATTTAATAGTAAGAGAATAATTAGTCGTCTATCTTAGCTAAACTTATCAGGCGAATTGAAGGTGAACACCAAATCCTCATCCATTTGCAAAGTAGGCCATACACGATTATCCGATCGTTCAAAAAATATTGCAGTGTTATGGACCGAACTGAAGAGGATATTATCTATGAGGTGGGTGATGATGATAACGGTAATGTTTGAATAAAATTATAGATGATGCAATTCTTATGGATTTAACTGCAGCACGCAGAGATTTCTGAAGAATTGCTAGAAAATTTCCAGCCGAATAATGGTATTGAGAAGTGCGATTGTACATCGAGATTAGGTGAAATAAAAAAATAAAAGTTTTATTTATTTCAATTTCTTTAATCTTTTATTCATTTTTGTGATAAGGTTATTTTTAAATCAGTTTGAAATCGTATATATGCTAACGCCAAGTCTTTAATGAAAGAAGATGTGCTAAAAATTCTCGGCTTATACAGGTAAATATATACTTACAATTACGAGTTTATACACGGTATAATTATTTAATCAGAATATGGATATAGAATCAAATAAAATGTGTTCAATCGAATTATATTATATCGCCACCATGAATCTCAAATCTGTGAAAGAAAAGAAATTGGAGGTAAATTTCCTTCATCCTAAATATCTCAATTCGCGTGTATAATTAAAGTCTTAAAGTTATTACATTCAAAGTATATTTATCCGAAACAAATACATGTGTATTTCCGTTACTTTAAGAATACTTGGATCTTAAAACTACGCTTGAGTGCCAGTAACGTTCCCTCGTCGCTGTTACTCAAATAAGCGAGTCTTAAGTTCAGAGCAGAGAATTTTGAAGAACGGACATTGAAAGAGAAGTGCAACATCTTTCCCAATTCATGCAGAGTGAATAACCGAAGATTAGGTATTAATATTCAGCGCGTGTGTGCGGCACAGGAATCGGATATGCATTACTAGAGGGCGTTGCTGAAGTCATCGGTGAGTAATATGAGTTATATTTAGTTGCAGCTGAATGGATTCTATTGCAAAACTTTGAGAATAATGCATCTTAGATTTATTGGCTTAAGTAAGCACCTTGATTTTCCGGACTTGCAAGGGGTAATTAATAAAGAGGGCTGCTACAAGAATGTATTTCATGATCCTAATTTATGCAGTCGTTTGTGAAAAACGTTTGCTAATTAATTTTACTTCTAAAAGATGTTTGCCTAAGTTAATGTCATTTTTACGTCGAGCTTTTTGATTGCTTTCTAAAAATGATTTTGTATTTGTATATTAGTTTTATATGTTTACTGATTCTCCTTCTTTCGGATTAATACATAATTGAACGTTGAACTGAAAATCTTTAATAATAGATGCATAAAATGTTTGTTAAATACTTGTCAAAATTCAATCTTTTGTTCGTAGTTAACTTCAAACTAAAGATCTTACCGAATTTCGAATGTTACCGAATTTCGAATGCATAAGGTTTAATATATTATATACTAGGTGTACCCGCCCGGCGTTGCCCGCGCATTTAGAAAATGCAGATAAGTGAATAGCGCAGGAATGGTAGTGTAGGACATGTAGACTGTCTCTCTCTCTTCCCCCCCCACAAGCTACAAAAAAGAAATGAATTGTAATTAATCGATTTAATGTATCGTCAAAACAGCAAACTAACGCTAGAATAAAGAAATCAATTGTTACAATCGAACGTTATTTGAAAACAAATAATAATATCAGTGAGTCAAAAAAACCGTGATTAATTAATTATAAATAATTTTTTTTAAATTTTTCTAATTCAAAAATCGAAAATCGGGCTTCGAGGTCTGGTGGCCAGCCCCTTTGTGCTTCCGTATAAAAAATTCCAGGTCCCTGCGTGCGATAGATTTGGCTGGAGAGCTCGGTCAGACAGACAGACAGACACATTACACTTGCTTTTATTATTATTGATACATAGAAATCGATATAGCAATTAATCAATATTATTTAATTTTAATATTACGAATAATTAATATTACGAAATAATATTGATTAATTGATTATATTATCTCTTAAGTTTAATTAAAGTATAATTATCTTAAAAGAGTAAATCCATACTAGTAAGTTAGTTTTGAAAGATATTTTGAAGTAACTTATATATATATATATGTACATGTATATATATAGATACATACTATATATGCTATAACTACTGCTATTATATATACTACGTTATATTACTGCTCCTTGCTATATTGCTTTCTGTGTAGAAAATTTTGTTTACTTATTGCCGTAAATTTTATTTAATGTTACTCATAGTTTAAAAAATGAGACCTATTTTCAAAAGTTTCAATTATTTATTTTTATTTTTTCAATTATTTAGTTTCATTTATTTATTAAAAGTTTCAATTATTTTTATTTTTAATTTAAGTATTATATGACATTAGATATCAGCACCTTTTTGAAGGTATTAATTTTAACTTCACAGAAGTTTTAATTGCGTATGGAATTAAGGTATAAATCTACAAAACTAACCGTCTGTATGTCTCTTCGTAAATCTAAATATGAGTTATAGGCATAAGAACAGAGATATATGTACATAAATAAGTACTGGAATTCAAATTAATTTCGAGTTTCTTTCTAATTTACTGGCGTTATGAAATCAGACGCCTTTTTAGAAAAAGGCATACTCATACCACGTTCACTCAACTATTAGAAGATAACACAGATCCTATCATTCGTATTATCAGAAAAAATAGATGCATATGTTTCGAACATTATCTATCAGAAGATAGTGCGCTCGAATCCTCCTCATAGTTTGGTGGTGGTATCGTTCAGTCGTCTAAAAATTATGATAGCAAACACAAAAATAATAAAATAACTCAAACTGTTACAGACAGATACGCTAACATAGAGAAATTTAAAATTTGCACAAAATATAAAATTTTTATAACTTATTTCAGTTTATTTTAAAATAATTTGTACATATTTATGCTTGTGCAAAATTCAGTCATACGCTTTTAAAGAAATGAAAAGTTGATATATGAAAAATGCTGTCTAGTTATTCCTTTAATATTAGTCCTTGAAGTTCAGAGAGAAAATATTAAAATTTATGATTAAGCACCATACTTCTGATAAAGAATTGTAAGTAACTTTACACAAAGTGAAGTAACTTCATGCAATGAATTGAAGGGAAGGCTTTTATTTTTGAATAATCTGGCAGGAATTGCAAGGAAACGTGAACATAATAAACACCCAACAACTTTAAGTCTAAGCTGGATATTCGTCACAGAGCTTTCAAATTACTCTGATGATACCAGTTTCTCTGTAAATGGAGTCTGGTTCCATAAAACTCATTACCTTGATTAAATAAGATTGGTAAATGTGATTAAACAGAGTAAACACTATAGAGCTCAAGCAAATTTTTTAATGTTCAGCTTATCTCGAAATTGGGAGCCTATTAAATTATTTCTCAATATTATTTGTTACGTAACTGAACAAAATGTACTCAGATTAACATTTGTTTATTCTGAATCTGCGAAACAATCTGAGTACTTGTGATTGTGTATCTGTTAGAATAATTCAAGCTAACAGAGTGATATTTTCAATGAGAAGAGGGCGATTAAATGTTACTATTTTTTTGTATTCTGAGACATTATTCACTTACTTCACTTCAGAAAATTAAAAATACCGCACTTTCCCGTTAAGATATTGTTTTATTGCAATATTTCACAGTGCTTTCTTTCTAATTGATTCCTGATTTTATAAATGTTACAGTATTAACGAATCGCTATAACACACTTCTAGCCAATCAGTGGACTAGTGGATAAGACTGCTGAAACACTAGTAGTTTGACCTTCATTTGCACCCCAGCTAAATAAGCTGACTACATATAAATTGGTACGGGAAATTTGCAGTATTATTTCGGTCCTAAAATTGACGATAAGAAATTAATATCCTTAATCAAGTTTAAAATAATAAAACGACAACAGAAAACCTCAAGAATTGCGGGAGTTTAAAAATTATTTTCTGCGTTTTGTAATAAGAAGTTGCTAAAACATAATTTGAATTCCTTCATTCCTGAACAGAATCTGAATTATTCAATCGCAACGGAATCTTTTATAGATTGACGAGGTAGAAAAGTTAAATGCTAATCACGCGGGATTTCCTCTCAGACTGCAGAAAAAGCATGTTCATAGGAAATTATTTATTAAGAGAAAAGTTAATCACACCAAAGTAAAACATATAATTAGGCAAAGCAAAAACTTTGTGTTTAGTTTTAGATTTTAAGCAAGACTATCAATTTCGAGGGCGAGCAGGTACAGGTAGCAAAGAAATTTTGCCGGAGGAGCAGAATCTTATCAAGAACCGAATTCTTTGCTCTAGTCGAACCTGTTTATAACATGTTTGTAACCTTGCTGAACTTGTAACTTCCTGCCCTCGAAATCTATAGATTCTTTGTTAAAATCTACGCCAGACACAAAGTTATTACTTTGACTAAATGATTTATTGTTGATATTTGGAAGCGCTGAGAAAAATTACATAACCTTAATACAGGTACAGGTAGAAGTGAACGGGACACCAGAATTTCACTGTAGGTTGTACAGGTATAGTTCCGCCGCACTAACTGTGGAGTTCCATCCTAGTTTTGACGGATAGCATCCTGGGTAGCGCTCCACAGTCTTTCACGTCACTTCTCTTCCCAATTCAGCGACCTCTCACTAGGACTTTCGGCTCCGAGTATATTTTAAGAGTCTCCTTGCTTCACAGACACTATTTCTATGTCTTCTCCGGGATTCGAAACTGGGCTCATCGGTACAGCAATCAGCGTCGTTAACCACTGTACCTGGCGGACGCTCAGCTTTAATACAATTAAATGAATTTAAAGTCCTAGATCTCATATTTACTAATCCTGAGAAACGCCATGTATGTGCATCAGTTAAATATTACAGCGCTGCTTAATTAATGCTTTGATACTGAATGTAGCATCTTTTTCTTCTGCAGGTGCAGAGAGACATAATTCTCCTACGGTTATTACTTCCAATAAAGGGACCCCCAATCAATATCCTGGGTACAATTCTTTGCCAAGGCCAGGGCACGGGGGTCCACTTCAAGGGGCCACAGTAGCCCAGAGCGAAGTCGAGGTTGTCAACAATCCTGCTCCGAATCAACAAGTTACACCCCTGCAAAGAGACGGAAGCATGAGAGGCAATTCGGGGAACGGCGGAAGCTCTCGGGGTCGTATGTATCTGTCACTTCATCGAGGCCCTTCATCGTCCTCCACATCAGATAATAATTCTGATGCTACATGTACAGATTCCGAACCAATCACGAGAAGAGGAGGCAATCCATCGTTGGAAGCTCAAAACAGTAAGTTTCGCCTTGCATTGCATACAGCAGATTTTGCATAATTAGAATACCTAGACTAATATACAGAACCAATATTTGTACACCATTTCTTTCAATGAAAAAATAATAAATAAAAAAAGATACTGGAGAGCAATTTGTTAGACATTTGTTAGACATAAGTATATATATATATATATACTTTTATATGGTCTCATTAGATTCTTATCATACAGTATCTTTAAGAAAGTTATGCTTTACCGCAAAATCTCCACAAAGCATTGAGATAAAATATAACATATTGCTACTCAGAAATTCTGGCATAGATGCTGTAATGAGCACAAAGCTATAACCATCATTAAAAGCAGTATGAATAGCAGTCATCTTATTTTCCGGTAGCCGCCTACGCCGAACTATACACAAATTTGAATAAATCTGCGTCTTTCATCTAACGAACCAGTAAACCAAGTTTTGAGGGTAGCTGAGACTGCATAGGCGCATATGATTAACAGTAATGAGAAATATTTCCGGTGACTTCAAACATTAGTCTTAGTCAGTGATCTGTTTATGGCCTTAGTTTGTTAATAAGTAAGTAGTTCTTATTTTAACTAGATTTTTCATGCTATAACAAAATTGCTATAAAAAACTAAATTTACAGAAAATTATCTGCAACCGTACTTAAGTTGTTAGACTATGTAATGATTTTACTAAAATTACTGCGCTATAGCAAAAGAAGTTTGACGTAACGGTTAGGTATATTTCGCTCTCTAAACTAATTTGGTCCACATACCAGTAGTAATCGCAAGTCCCCGGAGTTAAAAGAAAGCTACCTCAGAAATCATTACGTCCTGTTGCAGAAACATTGGGCCAGCCTCCGGATATCCGTATTCGTGCCCCATGGGCGGACACTGGCTGTTGCCATCGAGTGGAAAAGAAATTTATCCGCTAGTTGTTACCCGAAAATGGATGCCAGGAAGCTGTTGAAATGGCTAGGTCTCATGACTACGGAAGCGACATCCTCAAAACGCCAGAAACTTGTTACTAAAACTACATGGCTCAAATCGCGTATTAGAACGAGCTTTACTGATAAGATTTATTGTTTCAAGATCATCTGATATACGTTCAATGATAAATGTACAAAAGACATTCTGACTGTCAATGAAAATATATTCAATTACATTTTTTACTAATAATACGTTTTAGAAGTATATGTGTATCTATAATATTACAAGTTTAGTCGAATTAGTGTTAGACACTTAAAATTATTAAAATGAAGATTATATTGTTTTTCCTTTTCTAAAAAACTTTCATTTTATTCAGAGTTTTTATTTAAATTCAATTACAATAGAAAATTATATTGAAAAAAAATATTTTCCAAACGTTATTTTTTATTTATGAACTTAAAAAAGTCATATTTGATAAAGTTTAGAATCTTGTATCACACTGGTTTAATTGTTAAACACTGGCTCAGCAAAGCTAATTAAAGCACTTAAGAATGTTGCTTTTAATTTAATCTTAACAACAATTTTCTTGCTTCTATTTTTTTCTTTTATTTAAGTAGTAACTCCCTCTTAAATATGTTGTCACGCTTTGTAATTTCAATATTTTATAAAACACTTTGTATAACTTGATAAACAAATGGGAAAATGCCTTTTTTCAATTTGAATTTTATTAAGAACAAATACCGAAAGTTTTAAAGCATTCCGTCAGTTACATTCTGAGCTTTAAGAGTTCAAATAGTTAAAAGCAATTTTAAAACTGAGAATTGAGGTTTTCAATTTAGCATTCTTTTTTACAGCAGGTAAGAGTCATAAAACTATTTCTGACATCTTCTCCTTGTGATAACGATATGACGTTTGCAAGGCAGGTTTATTAATATGCTACAGCACTTTGAATCAACATTTGAAAGAAACTAAACTTTTTTTTAAATATTAAAAATTCACATGTCCGCACCTTTAAAGACAGAACATTAAAGGCTGCTTTGCTATGCGGAAAGCTATTAATTATCACGAATACGTCTAAACTTTTAAAATTAAAGTAAAATAAAATGTTCCCATTTTTAATGATTACTTTTGCATGTTAATTGGCTAATGATGTTCGTTACATTAAGAGTTTGTATAAAGAAATAAATGCCACACTGTCCATTGACCAAAAGATAATGAGTATCAAGTATTATTTTTTAAAAGGTAGCACATTTTGATGGATGCTCTTAACATAGTAGATGTCGGAGGCGCCAACACTGGCAGTGGAAAGAAAAAATGTTGAAAACTGAAAGAAATTTCAGTAAAATTGCTTTAGAAAGTCGGAATGTACCATATTGCTTTTACAAGAAGACATTTGTCATTCTATTGGAGGTCTTGTAGTAAAAATAAAATATCAGTTGTCATTCTGTTGGAGGTCTCGTAGTAAAAATAAAATATCAGTAACACTGGGAAGTGGTTAAAACGAAAATGCCTTGCAGCGTAGTTCACATTGATTAGATTAACTGCAATTACCTTAATTCTAATTGAAATGCCTCGCGTGAACTTCAAGTTTAGCATTCTATTTCAGCAAAGTTGGATTTGGTGTTAGCTTCTATACTTACCTTTAACTTTGCTTTGCCGTTGGGGGTGAAACGTTATCTTTGTTGAGCAAAGATCATTCTAAGCGACTGTAAAAGGAAAGAATCTAATTCCACAGTGCGAAAAATAAAGTACGGTTTACAAACATATTTTAATGATGTCTCGTTTTATTATTTAAACCCCGACAAAAAGTCTAGTTGCTTGATAGTTTTCGCATTTTTTTTTTTTTTAGTAAACGTGAATACCAAAACACTTCGCTTACTAAGCTTATCCCTTCCCATAGGCATATAAACCTCAAGTGCTTTGCCATAATTCAAATTATCCTAGTCCATGATTGATCATAATCCTTTTTCATTTAGATTTTGTTTAAAAGTTTCCAGTCGTATTTTGTGTTTTGACGTATGGTACGGTTTACTGTTTTCTAAATAAATGTGGTTCAGTGTTTCTACGTATGTTTTTTTTTCAATGTTTACATCTTTGGCAAATTATTTTATTCATAATTTGTATTTACATCAGAGGGCTTAAACAGCTACTTACATTATAGTATTTATGTGGAACCATTTGTAACGGCGTGACTATATGTATCAACCATTTGTAACGGGGTGACTATATGATAATCTAGCCATAATATAACATAATGTATTAAAATTAAAATCAGAAATATTTTAAATTTATGAAGATGAATAATTACTTTGCTTCCAAGACTGGGAGTAGTCAGAACTCTAAAGATGTTACACATGGCAAAATTCCTTTTTTTCTTTTGCATTAATTTCTGATGAAAAACCATAATATATATCAGGGAAGTGGAGAGGAAATGTTATTTCTTTTCTGCAGCGTTAGGCAAATTGTCTTAAAGAAAATAGATTTCTTCACTTATGTCTCGAGGTGTTTACGAGCTTTTTCATTTGAAATTAACTCAAAACAGGGGAAATGTTACTAATTATTAAGAATAATCTTAGAACGTATTTCTTTAATATGTATTATTTTCTCTTTGTTCTATTTATCTTTACAGATTTTGAATAAAATGTAATAAAGCTAGCACTGAAATAAAGTTTTACACAGCAAATTTGTAAAAGGAGTTTGTAGTCAAATATATGCATATAAATAAGAGTCGGATTAGAAGAAAAACATGCCAGTGTAGGATTTTAAACTAGCTAAAGTAGCAAATTTAATTTGCTCTATATTT